ATACATACATTCGTGACAGTCTTCGGCGACAGTGTCATATGACATTTTAATTTGGTACTGTAGTATGATAGCTTGTTTTGCAAGTGTCGGAAGCAAAGACAGTCGATTATCACAGAAAATGTGTCGACTACCGTGACCGCTTACAATACTGCTTATGATCATGACTAAAATACTCCATAGCCCTAGAACGAATCGTTCGTGGTAACTTCTATACGACTTGTTTCAGTCATAAACAGGCTGCTTCAAATTTTCGAGATGGAAATGTGCTACTTGGGTTGAGTGTGACACGTTAAATTACCACAGCAAATCCAATTGAATATTATTACGATGCCAATATGGGAAGTCGAAATTAATCGTTTTTCATATGATCGCTTGTATGAAAAAGTTGTTCCCTGTAAATCATTCCAGACCAATGAGTGCGCCATAGAGTGCGACACATCAAAACACTATAGAAATTATATTGCCTATTGTGAATATTGCATTAGGTGAGCGAAAAGAGTGGATCATGGATTAAACCTGGCAGAATATTGTTGAGTGTAGAGAAGTAAAAACCGCGATAGAGCGCGTGAGAACCAGAGGAACCAAGAACGAAGCCTGTCAACGGTAGTCGGCTCTAGAGAAAGAAGTAAACCGCAATTGCAGACAGGACAAGCGAGTGTCGTTGGACTCCCTGACCGACGAAGGAGAGAATACCGCAACAGCCGGCGATATCCACCTCCTCTGAAATATATCACGACGTCTGATTGGAGTAAGGATGAATCCAAAGATACCTATGAAAGACACGACTGGACAGTTTCTTACTGACCCCAGTGACCAGCTGAAACGTTGTAATTGTAATATTCACTTGAACTTGTTATGTTACACTCAGTGGAATATTTCAGACAGGACTATTAGTTAAAAATTACTTTCGTATGAAGGAATGCGTTCACAAATGTCATTGTAATACTCACATGGGTTTCCTATGGCAATTTTATTTTTTGCGCTCTAAGAAATATTTTAGCCTCGTTTATTGGGCTGTAATGATCTCCGGAGAACCTGAATCAGATCGCGGATGGTCATACTCTTTGGAATATTTTAGCTAGGACCGTTAGTTCATAATGACTTGCGGAGCACCAGGATCAGTTCCTGCATGGTGGCTACTGTCCTCAGATTATTTGCATTAGGGGCGATCCATTTATTATGTCACGCTGAATTGAGAAAAAAACTAACCCCCTCCCACCTTTCATCACGTTTTTCTTATACGTAATGCATTGCCGGTCACAAAATCATAAACCCCCCTACCCCTTATAATATTCAGCTCGGTTGAGCATGCATGATTTTACATACCGTGCGATATAGTAGCTTCAAATATATAATTTCAAATCATAATCTAGAATTTACGGAACCGGATACTGTAAGCCTTGAAACAGATGCCAATGTGTCTATATGACAATGAAATTATTTGAAATAATTGTTCTTGGCCACATCCTACGATTTGATATGCAGTACGATTCATTTGCCTCAAATATGACTATGGCCTAAAGAACCGGATTACAAGATCCCCCCTTACCGTATCGTATTGCGGAATCTATGAAATGGAATTCCGGAATCCCCGAGCCGATGCCAATGTGACCATATGCCAAAGGAATCACCACAAACCTTTTGGAATTTGTGGACTTCGTATTAAATGCAATGGATAGAGGTAACGAAGTAGAAGCTCTATATACGGACTTCAGCAAAACGTTTGTCAGAATTGATATCCCAAAGCTGATTTTTAAATTAGAAAAAAATGGGAATTGGGATGAAGCTCCTCACCTGGATTAAGTCGTATTTAGTTGATCGCCAGCTAATTGTAATATTCAACGAGAAAACATCTAAGCCAATTAATGTCACGTCAGGGGTTCCCCAGGGCTCGCATCTAGGTCCCCTTCTTTTTATTTTGTACATTAATGACGTCTCTCTTATTTTAAAAAATATCAGAGTACTTATATACATACGTTGATTACATGAAGCTATTTTTAGAAATAGGAAGCGATAACGATATGAATGTGTTTCTGAATGAAATATATATTTTTTATAGATGGTGTAGTAAAAGTTGATTGAAATTAAATATTAAAAAATGTATTCTTATAACGTACAGTAGAAAACTAAACAAACAAAATCTTTGTATTACATTAAGTTATGAAAATGTTCAAAAATGTGAAAATCTAAGAGATTTAGGTGTTATTCTAGATTCTAAATTGACATTTCTGGACCATTATAACACAATAATACATAGAGCAGGCATTTGCTTAATTTTATAAAACGTTTCGGTCTCCACTTTTAAGATCATTATACAATCAAATCACTTTACGTTGCTTAGGTCAATTTTAGAATATTGTCACCTTATATGAAAAAGCATGAAGAACGAATAGAGTCAATCCAAAAGCAATTGTTATTATATGCACTACGTAAGTTAGTTTGGACGGCTTTTCCTCTCCCATCATATGAAGCACGTTGCTTGTTGATCCGCATTCAAACATTGAAAGAACGTCGAGATTATGCAAAGATTTCTTTATTAAACAATATCATTCCGCAACGCTCAATGCTCAACGCTCAGGTGATCTATTGTCAAGGTTAAATTTGTAAACACCTTCGCGACAATTACCCAATCGACACTTGTTCGCAGTAGATCGCCATCGAACCAATTACGCTAAATTTGGACCGGTAAATCAAATGATGACTGTTTATAATCATCATTGTGAAATGATAGACCTAAATATGCCCTCAACAGAAATAAAAATATATTTCAGAAATCTGCGAGCTCATAGAACATAAGTCCTAATGTTAATATGTAGTCTACGATTTGATTGATTGACGAATAAATAAATAAATAAATAACTAAACCGAATGCGGAAAACCGCCAACCGCAGAAAAGTTGCCATACTAAAAAAAAACCATAAAAGAGAGCTATCACCTATATATATATATATTTTTGATAGTTTACTAATCCGGGCTGCAGTTCGTTTATGGTATGTTATATGCAAAATGTGAATTGTTGCAATGTGATCAACAAATGATATCTATGTGTCGGAAACATACTTAATAGTGTACATATAAAAACCTTGCGTGACCACACATACTATTCATTTGACGTATAAATTTCGTGTGTACTTCTGAGTGGATTCTGTTTATGTGTAGTCAAAAGAAAATCATGCGGAATTTCACATGAAAAATTGTCAATAAAAATGGTTTGATTAAACTATAGCCGAAACATTGAAATACTTGAACATTTTAAGATAAAGTATAATAGTCAAAAATGCATGACATACATCAATTTTACGTGGTTCTACGTCATACTGCGGTCGTCTCTAGGACACGACCCTTTATTTTTTATATTACTGTAGCGTCTCCAAATGTCATAGCAAAAAACTGTTGACAGCGTTTTGCTTGGAAGATTGTTTATTGAGTGTTGATAATTTCATCAGGATTCATACATACGATTATAAGTTATCGAAGATGGAACGCGAGAGACAAAATTCTACACACTCACGTTGAAAACCCAACGTGGTCAGGAGGAATGATCGTAAAGGTTCTACAGTAAATACCATGCTTAAACGTTACCGGAAAACACTAACGTTTGATCGCGTAGAAGTGGAATATATGACCGCAAATTACGAGCGAAGATTAATAGGGCAGACCAAAAATTGATTTTTTACTAATTCCGGGTCAAAAATTGTAGCTTCCCATACGTAAGGGGGATGCTCGGGGTAAGTTCAAATTTGTCTTTGCAGATAAATGAAAACAAAGGTTTTCATCACTGGAGTGACTATGAATGGGCAATTTTACATTACAGCAGGAATGTCATTGAATGTTATAAGTAGAATAATGTCGACTTTATAAAAAAAAAGTCCAGAATTGACCAAATTTTCATGGAACTCTGGGAGGTAAAATTTAATTATTTTTTCACATTTGGCCTGGAACTGCTCTGCATGTGAACTGCTGTTGGATGCAGGACCTTGAAGTCACTCTATATCGGAATGGATATTAACTTTAATTATGCGTCAACAGATTATTTCATGCTGTTCCTGTCATGGAATGCGTGAAGCATAAAGCACGGTTTGGTTAATGTTTTTCTCTTCCTTGTGATGGTTTTTGAATTATTGAAAAGAACTATTCCAATTTCACTATTAAATCATTTGATAGAATAACTTTCCATAAGCCACAACAAATTCATTGAAACGGCTCTCTGAGCCGATCCTAAAAAAAAACAGTCTATGAAAAAGTTTGCAGTTTTCTTGTTGGAGGAAACACGAAAAATCAGAATTGATAGCTTTTCTCGGTGTTCCCATTCATAAAAATTTAATTTATACTTACTTCATTAAAAGTTTAACACAAAACCTTGTAAATACTATCAGCGGAACGTGTGCCTAATTCACCAATTCCCAAAGAGAACTGATACATGCAAAAATACCATTTACTCCATTTAATCAACACAACTACAGCCCCAGAACCAGACCACGTGCACTTGAAAAAGGGGAACCGCACATTGCGCAAACTCGCCGGTCGGAAGCGTGCTGGGACCATACATACAAGCTCGAAGTAACGCTCTATCGGCGGCACAACCACCACCCATATGCCGATTCGGATGAGGATGAGCGAAAACAAGGCAGCAAACTCATTACAGGATCATATTTTGATTAAATTCACTCTTTCCTGTCTCATCTGTTCCAGCGTGCGATCTCTCCTACTCTGTCGCATGCTGAGCTTTACCTCCCTCCCATCCTTCGCTCACTTGCTCTCTCGCTGTAGGACATTATTGCTGTTTTTATATCGTTTTCATTCAATTGGATTCGCCTTTCCGCGCAACATCTCCGCTCGTCCGGACCGCACTCTGATGGGGAATCTTCTCTGCACTACGACCGGGTTCAGCTGTTTAGAACTTTGCTGAGGCTGCGTTGTCGTGCGTCCGCCACCAGGCCAGCATTCACGACATAATCATCGACGTCGGTCGCTCCACTCCGTTCGCCCGTGATATATCCAAGCTCGCTTATGGCTGGGATGGGATGCTGCCCGACCGAGTGACTGTAGCTGAGGACTTGAACTCTGCTGGTGCACCGAAACTGAATATACATGCGGGACGGCGACGCTGGAAATTGGATAACGCGCGACACCGACACCACCGACAGTGACTGACTGTGCAGGAGATTGCTCTGGTTGATTCCAATCGTGACCGGCGCCGCGGATGGACGTGTTTTTTTAGCTCGGATTGCAGATTTCCGAAATTACGATATTCCTGAGCAAGTGTCCGGTTTTGTGGCGAAGCATTACAGGTGTTTGCGATTCTTTTCCGGGCCGCGTACAGGTGTGATTGAGTTGCGATAAAATTGTGGAGAAGGGATTCACAATCTGTACTGCAAAATCGAGACATAAAAGAAGAAAATCTTACGGTGGAAAAGTGAAAGATTGCAAGAATCGAAAAAGGCCACAGTTTTTTTTCCGGAGTCCAACATGCAGAACCTCCTTTGAAAAGAGAAACAAATCAATATTGGGAGAAGTATTTACAACTTGGTGCCACAACTAAAAAGTTAACAACAGTGCGCTTTCCGGGTTTTAGTAACAGTGTGCAAAACACAAGTGAAACATTGATTGATAAAGTGCCACATACGAAGAAAAAAAAAGTCAGTGACATACGGAACAAATCATTTCAAAACTTGAGAAGCGATTTTTCAGGATTACACGTGTGCGGGCTTCAGCCTGCTAAACATCGGCAAAATTTTCACGGACGGGAATAAGGTACGTTTTTAATTGAAACCATGAGTATACCGACGGCTTAAAGATTTGCAGCTATCCAAACAATCATCATACTTTGCGGACAATTTTGGTAGATCGTAAACCTGCAGCTATAAGATTAAGAGAATCCCTTTTAATATTAAAAAAAAAACGCATTTAAATATAAATGTTGCAACATTTTAACAATGCAACACTATATATACGTAAACTTAGCTTTATAAATAAGTGCAACAACAACAATTGTACACGCAAAAATAAATTTCTATTTCAGCCAGTGTAATGTTGTATTTATTACATCATCTGCATATGTTTCATACAACAAATGTTATGGTAGTTCTTGCAATGGAACGCTGCAGTCCATTGCAAGCAAGTTTTGTCAGAATGCATATTTTCGCATAAAACCTTCACGAGATGATTTTCTAGACGCAATGCATTTGGGAAAAAAAACTTTGTTTGAAAATTAAGTTAATACAAACAAAAACTTCTGGCGACCACATTACAGAATCTGTTTATGTGTGACTGCATTGCAAATTCTGCACACTGTTTATGCAAATCTGTAATAGAATCAAACATTTCGTGGTTGGGTGAAGGAACAATTTTCCAAATATAATTAATAAAATACCTTAACCTTAATACCAGCCATTTGCACGTCAAAACGCCCCATATGCTAGGAAGCTAACCTAGTTCCATAATTTTCAACTGGTGAGCAATTTAGCAAAAACCATGGTTTTCAATCAATTGCGATCCATAGCATAATCTCATTGGCCATGTACTAGTGTACTCATACACTTAAAAAACATATTTTGATGTAGAACTACGTCTTTGTCGACTATACTGGGGTGCAAATCAAAAAATATGTGTGGTGAAATAGTGTTAGGTTTTGAACGCTTATAACTTTGTCATTTTTTGATGAAATAAAAAACCAAATACGCCAATCGATATGATATTTCTTTACAAATCTGTTAAAATAAATACTTTTCCAATTTTCCATAAAATAACTTTTGAAAAGTGTACAAATGATAATTTTATCACTGTTTTCATGAAATAATCGTTTTTCCCAAACCCAGTCATCATAATCGAATACCACTTCGTTGCACATCATTCTGTTTGAACCTGAAAAGATATAAAATAGCGCTGCTGTCGTGCATCTGCTCATTACCGCTTCGGACAGTGTGGCACTGGGTCCTGCAGCAAGCAGGAGCAAGTCAGTGGTTAATGTGGTGCCAGCAACGTTCGACACGTAAGGTTGGACCTATCCAAAAATGAATCATGTTGGACCTATTTTTATTGCCGCTAATTTAGTTCAAAAAAGTCTAAGAAACTTCTTCTGAAAGTTCATTACTATGAAGAAAAAAAAATGTTTTATTGAATAACATAATGTCGGTATTATTATGTTTTCAAAAATAGTTCACTTTTAACTAATTTTCTCATCAACATGGCTCACTTTAGAACATCTACAAGAGGAATGTTTACTTTGATTTTCAAAGTTTTTGTGCAGTATAATACTACTCAAAGATCTAAACTTTATGCTAGCATGCATTAATTTTATTCAAAAGTTTGAATATTTTACAAAATTCCTGATTTATATTTGTATCATGGTTGGACCTAGTTGTTTCCTGCATTGACCGTCAGGTGTGCTTCGGTTTGTTTACAATTTCCTTCGCGCACAGCAACATGATTTTCTGTTTACTTTCCTAGTCACAACTTTCTTAAACAGAGCATAGAGGAAGTAGATGAATTATCATGTAATTTGAGGCATCGCATAATGGATTTTTATCCAAGTCGAAAACTGGCTACTTTCCTAGGGGTTTCCGGAAATTGATTGGATCCTGGCTATTCCTAATAACTGCCATTGAACTAGTTGTTAAAATGTAATGTGATTTAATAGTTTTTTACCACATGCAGAAACTGGCCACTTTTCCGGAGTGATCGAAACATGGCCAGGTATGGCCAATGTGGCACTGGACCCCCCCCCCCCCCCCAATGACTACCATTGAACTAGTTTTTTTTTATTCTAATGTGATTTGAGGTGTCACATGATAAGTTTTATTTGTTTGAGGTCGCAATTAGCCTCATGCCTCATATAAACCGTAGCAAGTTCTGGTCATATTTCCGAAACCGGAATGTGTGACCATAATACCATTCATTAAGCGACATGACACTCGGCCCTGCGGGCTCTTAAGCATACAATGGTACTGTATACAATTGGTCCAACCATGATTCAAATTCATTGCTGAATAAAAACGATCAATAAAATCCTTTTATGAGAACATTATACATTCATTAGAAATTAGAGAGGTAGGGGAAATGGCTCTAATGTTGACCTATGGATCTAAGATTGGGCCCATCGCTAAAAGTCTGCTATAAATCAATTGTATCTAGATAAACGCGTCATTGGGATGGTACTAATGGTTATTTTTGATCGCTATTGAAAATTTAGTCGATTGCTGAATTTTTTTTTTTTTTCCTTTGGTTTGTTTTCCGTCGATCTTGTTTTCCGTGCTGAGCACCAATGCTACCGACGCCAGGGAGGCAGCTCCCATACCTGGACCCTACCTATCGACCCATCAACTCATGAACCGGGGACCAACGGCTTTACTTCCCTTCCGAAGGAAGGCGTGATCAGAGATTTTATACCTCAGAAAATCCCGGCGGCGCCGACTGGGATTGAACCCAGGCCTGCTGGGGTGAGAGGTAATCACGCTTACCACTACACCACCGGCGCCGCTTTTTGCTGAATTTATGTATGGGCCCAAATTAGGGGCATTAACAGCCATTTCCTCTAGTTGTTCAAACGCGTGGCGAAGTTGAAACGGTAGATTTTTCTCTTGGCGAAAGTGAATAATCACTGAGATTATTTCTAATATAGTAGTTTGTGGTAGTACACAAAGCCTCTCAAAAATATTTACAGTGAATATTCACTTCCACTAAGAGATAAACGTACCGTTTCAACTTACACAGGTGTACCTTAACTGCGATGCTTACTATCAAAAAATTGAACAGTTGGAGAAACTGTATACGAGCTTTTGCTCTGACTTTGAAATTCAATAACTGAATCCCCCTAATTTTCAATGTTTAGCACCTTCTTATTGAAACCAAACGTTTGATTTGAGAAAAGTCACAGCAATCTATTTTGCATCATTCTACGAACGCTAAATAGAGATGATGCATGATAATTTTATGTTAGGGTTGTCCTCCAAATTGGATAACAAAGAGGTACTTAAACCTCGTAGGATCGTTATATCCCTTCCTCCCCTACTTCGCTGACATATGAACCAACATTGTGTTCAATATTGAAAGTACCGTCTTCTGATAAGCAAAACAACTGCCTGTTGCGTATCATAAAATGCAACCTTCACTCTCTTCTTTACTTCAGAAACCTAATTTAAAACTAATGATGGAGCTACATTGAAATACTTGGAAAATTTAAAATAAAGTATAATAGTCAAAAATGCATAACAAACATAAATTTTGTGTAGTTCTACGTCATACTGCAGTCGTGTCTAGTACACAACCCTTTAATTTTTTTTTCTTTTTTTCAAGCAGATTTTTGTGGAAAATTTTACTCATTTTCTACTATTTTGTCAAAAAAAAAGCCTTTGAATTAGTCTCATCGAACATATACGGCGTCTAACGATATGACAACCGTCACATCCTTAGACAATCTGAAGCAAAACGTAACAAACGTTCAATTTTTTGTAACTTTTTTGGTGTCTTATCAAGCAGCTCCTATTGCATAGCATCTGATCTCGAAATGCTGCATTATAAATCCTTGACTTGGATTGAAAATGCCAAAAAAAAAATCAAAATAAAATTGAAAAGTGCGTTATGTTCCATTCTCCTCCATGTAAGCTCTACTATAACCTCGCAACTGGTAGTATCTCTCTGTTCTCTCGATAGTCATAGCCATCGAGAACGTTATTGGTTGATTGTGGCACTCAACACCACTTGGCACTGATAAAGTCTGCAAGTAGTAGACGAAATACGCGTATCTGTCAAAATATAAGTAATTATAACGGAATTTAAAGGAAATAAACCATCCCACTCAAAGCTTTTCATAAAGGGATTCCGTTAAGAGGTTCGACAAATTTAAAGTATTTTTGTTTGTATTGGAACCGAACATTAGTTTTTTTTTTTTGTCACTTTGATAATTCTCGATAAATGTAGAAAAGCAATTTATCTGCAAAAACAAATTTGAATCTGCCCAGGAAACCTCCTCGAGCCTTCGCTCTGTAAAATTTTGGTCCTGGACAGGCTTGCTTCCTCTCACTTGGTATAACAAATTGTTTTTCGGAATTATGAAATTATTAGATATTATAATGATAGTAAGTAGTTGTAAGTCACAAGATAAGGTTGTAAACAAGGTGTTTGACACATAAAACCTGTCATTATTTTTTTACGATTCATGAGCGCTCACTCTGAGTGAACGCTCACGAGTCATAAATTCGCTGATTGTGACGCACTGAAAGCGAAATTGACAGGTTTTATGTGTCAAATACATATCTTCCAACCTCTTCTTGTTTCTGACAAGTACAAACTTTCATAATAGCATCCAATGATTCCATAATTCCGAAAAACATTTTTATAGCGGAGTGAGTGGAAGTAACCCCGGGTCCTGGAAGCTGTCCGAAGTCAGCTTTTACATAGGTTTCACCATCCATAAGAATGCACCTACCGGACTTGGTCGCCAGGTTGTCATACAACTTTCGAGCACGGGTTCAAGCTTCGGTATTCTGCTTGAGTGATCGATTTGGTTGCCTACTGGCGCAGTATGTGTGTAGCGTATCCCCGGGGTAGGACGCACTTTTTCATTTTATTTTGAGTTTTTCATGGAATTTTTAATCCAATTCTAGGATTTATCATGCAGGATTTTGAGTTCAGATGCTATGCTAGAAGTTCTGATTGATAGGACAACAAAACAGTTACGTAAAAGCCATGAAAAACACATATGAAAGTCAGCTGGTTTGTTCTGCCCAGGGGGTGCGTTGTATACCATTGTCCCC